AATAAACCAGCCCAATTCACCCAGATGCCAGTGCTCACAGCCTTGTGGGTGCAGTGCAGATATTCCTTAAATTAAATTGTTGCTAACCAGCATCCCAAGCTCCTTAACTCTGCAGGCCAAGTGACCACAAGCCTTAATTGCTGTATGTCAGCACCACTTCACCTCACCGCCCCACCCACCTGCCACACAATTTTTTCCACCACATTTATACTGTCCCTGCCCTCAAAGGTTTCAGAAAAGACAAACAAATTTCCTACAGAGATAGGAACTAGTGAGCTGAGGACCTCTGCCCTTCAGAATCCTCCTCTGAAGAGAAAGATGACAGCACATGACTCTCTCAATAGCTTGGTCTTAAGGAGAGAGCAGTTTTTGACACAAAACTTGTGTCATCCACACCAGTTATGAAAGCTATTTCCTTTTATCCTTATTTGCCATCTGGAAACTGGCAAAGAGACAGCACTGCTCAGGACAGTATCTAAGACATGAGGCTTACAGAAGCTTCTCGTTCCACCTCTCGGTTACATCCCTGCACAACAGTACAGAAGCTCTCAAAGACTTTCAACACACCAGATTTTGAGTAAAGCATCATGACGTGGCACTCAGCTCTACTTTTACTCCATTTCTAAGGGCAGCTGCTTTTCTGTTTTTCTTTGCGCATCTGTGGACAACAAAATCTTTTCTCTCTCACAAGAATGTCTTCATTAAGTTAGTTTCTGCCTTCAGCTTATTCTTGTGCATACTATAATCTGTGTATATGCACAAGAAAGGCTTGAGAAGCAGACTGAAAAAACAGGAAGCTGGAATAAACAATGAGGCAGGAACTGTGAAAAACTTAAGCATCTTTTCTTGCCCTTATTGTGCTGCCTTCCTTTTCATTTTTGTTACTGCTGAATTTAGGATTCCTCCTACATTTGTATGAAACATGATTTCAATATTCTCTGTTTTCTGACCTATTTCTGAAGCAATATGACATAGCACAGTGACCAGGCACAAAGACAAACAATTCTGAGTTCAACTACTATCCTGAACGCTGGGTTTCATATCAGATTTGCCAAATTTACATAAATAATTTTTTTTACACTTAATATTGTACAGTGAGTAATAGAAAGGTCCTAAATATCCACCAATTTAGCAGCTCCTACTCTCTGCACTGAATATTCCATCTCCTTTTGCACAGGTGGTAGGACAGAGGGAGAAATTGCATTTTAATATACAAACCACCCAGTAATCCATGCACCAAACAGCATCTCTGTCCCATTCATGAATGTCCCTCATTCATTCATCACTCATTTTTAAAGGAATGACATCCTTTTAAAAAATAAATTATGAAACAATAACATTTGCTGGCTGACACTGAATTTACTTCATAAAACAAGGAAAGTTTGAAGAATTTTCAAATTCTTCAAAGAAAGAAAGAGAGAAGTTAAACATAGATAGAGAGTAGTAGTTTCAGCCCAAATCAACAAAATCCCTTTTTAGCACCTTGAAAAATACGTATTTAATGATCAAATTTTTTAATCAAGATAATTGCCCTCACACATCTTTTCCTATCCTTAAGTGTTTAACAAGAAACATCTTAGGCTCTCCTTAGCTCTACTACTTCTAAAGCTTCTAACTGTAAGCAAAGAATCAGATTATGTTGTGAATTGCAACCCTTTTCCCTCATGCTAAAGTTTTCCGGTTTGCATTGCAGAAAGACTTTTTCCTACCTTTAATTTTCTGTGCTTTTAAAGATTAGGGTAAAAAAGCATCTACTACTCTCAACATTTCACTAGAGATCACCTGGCCTTTTAGTTTGGCTGCACCAGGGGAGGTTTAGGTTGGATATTAGGAATATCATCTTCAGTGCAGAGGTGGTCAATTCTACTACACACCATGGCATTTCAGCCCACCCAAACAGTATCTCAGCCCAGTTCTCCACACTTTCTGAGAAATACATCCATTAAGTCACACAGATAAGCACTGAAAATGCACAAGAAAAAAGCCACAGTCAATTCTATTCCTAAACTCAACTTCCTCAGCACAGCAAACACTGCCTGGATGTCAGGCAAAGTAAGTGAAGGTTTAACTTAAGTCACCTTTAAGGGTTGCTGCTAAGAAGACACTAAATAAAATCTTGTAAGTTTATATATTTTCAGCACCAAAATAGAAAGAAAGATGGGTTTTTACTTAAGTCCACCTACATACTTGCTTTATGGATGGAATGAGAGTTTATGATTTAGACCTCTATTATCAGCACTGCATTTTATTTATCTGTAATTTCATGAAAGAGACTCCATTTTGTTATTTATCTTTCCTAGTCCAAAGGTGCTACTGAATCTTCATATAAAATAATTTTCCTATACAAATGGACACTTACATTCTCTGCTGGTTCATAGGTTAACAGCAGGATCCACCTCTGACGTCTGGGTGGGCGATTACTATTATATTTTCACAACCTATTGTTATTTTTCTTTCTGCTCAGCACAGAACAGACACCAGTAAGAACAGCAACTATGCAAGAGCAAAACCTGAGAGAAAGAAGAGATCCAACAAGAAATGGAGGCCACTATCTGACATTTTAAAAGGGCAAATCGAAAGCAATCAACACCCAACAAAACGCTCAGTGTAAGATGAGGTGATAGCTTAGGATATACTTAGGGTGGTGTAATGAGGCTAACAAGTGCTGTGTGTTTTAATGTAAATTAACACAAGATAATCTCTTCACATATTTAAGTGATGCACTTCAAGTTAATTAATACATATTTAATAGAAGTCTTCTTGAACAGCTGTTATTTACTTCTGGAGTTTCTACACATTAGCACTGGCTGCTTTGTTCTACTCTGAAGTTGTTCATGCTCCAAAGTACTTTAACAACTTGGGCTGTATAAAAATTGAACAGTCTTCCCAAAAAGAGTCAGCCTTTCTGACAACTTAATATTTTCACGTTAAATATTCAAACACTTGCTGAACAAAAGGTCAAATTCTACTTACAGCATCTGTGTGAAACAGGCAAGCAGATGCTTAATGCTGCTAGACAAATACTTTTGGTACAAAGAATGATATAGAGCTGGTGATCAGTCACATTTTCAGGCTGGAAAATCAGCTCTCCTTTACTTCTGTTCCCTAAATTCTGCACTTACCTTTCATATGTAACAATAGAGGCCCAAATTATGACCTGTTCCTTCCACAAGTGCTGGTGTTCTTTACACAGTGCTGTGCTACATGCAATCCTGGCAGTGAAAGTGCTGTCTACATTATTCACTGCATTTTTATGAGTATTACACCAACTCATTGAGGTTTCTGTCTTAAACAACTACTGTGTATAACAATACTGCCTTTAGACCTTGCATACAGCACTGAGGAAGTTCTCACCCCCTCCTTCTATTCAGATGAGAACCCATTTGAATTTAGGCACTTCTGAGTTTTTAGGATGTGAGTAAGTAGGAACCAATTCAAGAAACACATTGGCAAACACAAAATTCTTACACTCACAGTGGTAAATGTGACTTTTGACAACAGACACCAGTTTCTTTGACAACAACTATCACCACTGAACAATCCTTATCAGTGCATCTGTTGTCGTTTTCAGCTAACTAAAGATTTTTATTCTTGTGGCACTAGAGCACCGGTGCTCATTACTTGCATGTCAGCCTTTCAAGCTCACAGGTTTACTGAAAATAACTTCCAAAGCTGGTACCAATTGTATTAGTGCATAGCTATTGGGACAGCCTACATCTTCTGTGCAATGCTGTATGGAAACATACTCAAAACAATCCTAAATGCACAAAGATCAAACATATGTACTGATTTAAGCAGACTGATATTACTAGTATCTAAGTGAATTTATTTTACTTTAATATGGTGTTTTTCACAATACAGAGGATATAAAATAACATTTATTACTCAGGCTAAGAACTGTAAGACTAGACCAGATCATTGCTTTACCTGGCAAAGATGCTGCGTCTGTGTGGAATAAAAATTCAAAAAGTATCTTCATGATTGTTAAATAATTTTGCACTGCATCTACCAGCAGCCTGGAGAGCTGCAGATGCAAGGACTGAGGAAGATGACCTCAATTCTCCCTTCCCCACTCCCAGAGTGTGGCTGGTACAAGCTGGGTGAGGTTCCAGCTTGAATCAGTCTCCTGAACCCTGTAAGGCCACAGGGATGGGGTTGGGACACAACTGTTGGTTCTGAGGGAAGCAGCACCACACAGATTGGAAGTGCCTGTGTAAATGTGACAAAGCAGTGCCAGCCACAACAAACAGGCACCTGAAAGGATTTCTGTGCATTGGAGCTGCGTCAGTGCATGTAGGTGAAAAAGGGAGAAAAGCCATGGCTGCCACAGGGCCTAATGAACATCTTTTCCAGCAGGGAAACACACCAGAGATTTCATTCCTTTTGATGGGAGCCATGTAGGGAACAGACCAGTGCAGAAAAAAGAAACCTGAGAAGACAATATTATACTGTGACATTCTGGAATCAGCCATACTGTGATGTTCTGGAATCACCATTGTGTTAACAAAACTAAGTATCTTGAAAAATCTTTTTGTCTTTGGAAGGAGGATGTATCTTGTTCAGAGAAGTACGGGTGCTCTGCCAGCTGCCACAAAACCCATGTTTGTATATTTGCTTTGATATCCACAATTTAACTTTTATTAGCATCAGTACAAGCCTGATGTATACAAATGAAGGAAAAAGAGATCCCAGAAGACAAACTGAGCTCCCAGTACCAAGGAATGAAAACAAACACCCACATTTTGTGCAGACATGACATAACAGGTATTCCTTGGGTTCTTTTAAGATTCCTTAGAGCTAAAGGATCAAATTCGAAGGGAATCTCTTACAACATGCACAGTGAGACTCTAATATTTTTCCTCTACATTTTACATGAAAAATAAAAAATCTCTCTTTACCTGCGGCTTTGGTAGGTTTCTATTGTAATTATACCTTGTGTATTCCAAGAAAGTTTTTTGCATCACTATTACCAGTCTAGAGACGTACAAAGCTGCAGGTGCTTGTTGAAAAATAATAAAACCTTTATTAAAATTTCCAGGTTTTGCAAAAGCATTTTGACTACATTCCAAATCTACTTAAAATGTAATTAAATATTTACATTAATTCTCTAATAAGTATTGTAAGTAAATCAATACCCAAATTATGTTAAATTTTTGTGTGGTATTACAAAAATGTAGCAATTGTTTAAATGCATAATTCTAATGAAAATATAATGATCTTGAACTTTAAAAGAGCCCTTCATTTGGAGAGATGAAAGTGCTGTACATTCTTTCATTCATTATGTCTTATGGCCCCTGTGTGATGTAGGTGCTATTATCATCATTTTACAGATGGGGAAACTGGAAGGCTAATTAACTTGTCCAATTTACAACATTTTAGCTGTAAACTTAGGACATCCTATTGTACTTAAAGGTGAAACAGAACTCAGCTCACCTGTGATGAACATTTTCTAAAAATTCTTAAACTCCGTAAGCATTTAACTTACAGGAGAGAATATCTCACACAAGACTTCGGAGTTGGCTTTGCATTGATGGCAGCTTTGAGCACCACAGAAATGTGCTGCCTAGGGGCAAACATCAGAGCACCAGGTTATTGTGACATATGTCATCAAGCTTCCCAGCCAGGTATGGAGATGATGTGCATTTTTATTTGGTATTATTTCCATTTGGCCACGCATTCGTGCTTTAATTCTGTAGGACACACCACATTGCAAACAAACATTTCTACAAACAAACACAAACAAACAGTGTTTGCTGACAAACTCATTCCCTCAGTTTACTTATGTGTTCCATGAATTTCTTGACTCGGTCAAGATCAACAGCATTTGCCCAATATCCTTCTTTCTTGAAATACGAACCAATTCTTAGAGCATCTGCATCCAAGTAATTCCTCACATTCTCCAGAGTCACTCCACCAGCACAGGAATCTTCACAGCATGCTTTACCTCTGAGGAGAAAACCAAAATCAGGGTTAATTCCTGTCTCTGAAACTCTCTCCATAAAGACTCTAATTTGCCAAGTTTTTAAACAGAAAAAAAAATGTATTGAGAAATTTGTGATTGTGGTATTTATTACTTCTACTGCAGAATGAAACAGGTTCTCTAGAAAAAACACCTTTAGCTCTAAAGAGACAAAAAAAATCTTACTTTTTACATTCTGTTGTCTGGAATGCTTCTTGTATTTCCTTGTATGAAAGAGAGCAGGGATTATACAGGCACCTGACAGCTCAGATAGTTTTTCCAGAAAGCAAAAGCCAGAAATAGACATGATCTTTTATCAGTATGAGGAATGACAATGGAATAAAAAAGCCTCTTTATTTTTCCTATATACAGTGTTACTTACTCATCTGAGCTTTTACCTGGTTTCAAGAGGAGAAACAGACAAACACAAGGCTCAAAATACAGTATTAGCTTTGGGAGAAGGGAAAAAAACCCCCAAAAAACCCAGTTCAAAGCATCCTTCTCATCATTTTATGTCAAACTGACCATCCAAAGAGTGACTCATAGGACTGGATGCTTCATCCCTTAGAGGAATTTTGTGAGCCATTATTTCTGACCTTTAAAAACATATAAATTGGCTTAATTAGTGATAAGCTGATGGTAAGGTAGTTATAGCTTGAGGTAACTGGGGAAAGCATACATGAAGCAAATAAAAATCTGCTTCAAAACACTGTTTAAATGAAGTTTCATCAGAAGCCTAACTTATTAATTATGCTTCAGGGAAGACTAATTATTCATCACCTTCCTATTTCAGTGAAGAAAGGGGGTCAATTAAAATGTTCTTGAATCTCTTTTTAGGTGACATGCTCTACCATTTTTCCATATAGGAACAATAACTCCCTCTTAAAAAGATTTTAACACAAGAATAAAACCATTGTTTTGAAGTTCATGGATTTCAACCATTCAACAGAGCCCTTCTTGAAAATGTACAACAAATCAGATGGCTCATGCATATATGATTAAAACTTAAGTTATTTCTTTGCATATTTGATATTCTTAGTCATTCTGCTTACAGCAACAAAATAATTAATTTCTAGTTACTTATAGCATTATCATGAATATCCTGTTCTAAAAACCAGGATATTTATTTTAAATTTTAATTTTTATTTCTATTAAATTTTATTTATATAATATCTATATGCTCTTAGGAATATTCTATCTGCTTTACATCAATACCAGCACACAATTAAGGTGCATCTGACCAGAGATTTGTGACAGTATTTGACTGAATCCCCAAAGGAACCAGGCTCCAAGTCAATATTTGTTCTTACAAGTGCGTACAGCACGTTAGCAGGGAGTTGTTTCATAATTATTTCACATCAGCAGGAAAAACAAAGAGCCAGATAATTAAACAGAGCAAGTTCATATGGGTCTGAGACAACAGCTCAGCCCTGCTGGGCAAAGGGAAAAACCCAGTGAAACCTGAGACTGATCTGAAACTCCAGCACAACCTAAAGCCTTCCAAAGTGGGAAAGTATCAAGTGCTGCTGTGATCCACACATGGCACACAGACTGCACACACATCTCCTGGGCTGGAGATCTATTCAGAGTGACAATGTGAAGAATGGCAAAGGGAGTGCTCAGTGTGCACTGAGATGTGTTACCTCACTAAGGATGCTACAGATGCTACTTTTAAGTCCTTTCCAAGCACAACAGGGCCTAAAGTTGATTAGTAGAAGGTGATTTGTCTATTGGCTGTGCTAATACAAATTCTAACCTGTAAAAGAAATAAAACAACAGCAGTGAGATGTGCTTTTGTGTGGCAATGTTCAGTCACTGTCATAATATCTCTAAACACAGAGCTCTGCTTCAAATCTCTCAGTTTTCCTGGCATTCTGACTTTTTTTTTTTTTTTTTGACACAGTGAGAAAAAGGAGAATTTTGTGATGTTACAGTAACAAGATGCTGAAGTTTACACGGATTTCTCTGTTCCTGCAGACTGTAACTAGAGGGCACTGTGCTCTTTCTTGTGGCAGCACAGCTGCACACAGGTCTTTAATAAAACCCAATGAAATCGTACTTGGTTGCAAAGCACAATGAAAGCATTTGAACTACGTTATGTACAACTTTCATGAAATAAAGGCCAAGCACTCCTAGCTTGAAAACAGTGGCAAAGAGTGGTGTAAAATAAGCACCACTGTGCCAATAACTTGCTCGACTACTCTTCCTTAACAGCTTTCTCATTGCAGTGATCACTGTACCATACACAACACTGTTTATGGTAATGCTCCCCTCTTAACACATTTTAGATTTTTAATTCAAAGGACTTTTTCTCTGTCATTAAATTTAGGGCTTAAACAGGAGATGTGAGTGATCAGCACTTTTTCTATCTCAGAGGGTATCACACAGGCAGCAGCCTCTATTTTGGCCATCAAAAGATGAGAGGGGGTGAGTCAGTCTTGAGGCCCCTTTTATGAACAGTAATTAAGGAGGTGACAGTCACAGCCAGCTGTTGGATTTCATTATGTACCTGTTTTCCACAGGTTAGTCAGCTGAGACACTTTGTTTTGTTCATAGAGATAACTGAGCAGTCATTATGCACAGCTTTGGTCACTCAAAATACAAACTGAATGCAAAGCAGGTATTTCAGCAGTTACAGCCAAAGAAAAAACCTGATGGGTTCAGACATCCAACCAAAGAACATTCCACAAGGCAGCAAACTGGAACTGCTATAACCTCTTAGATGAAAAGATGGTTTATTAATGAATTCAAAATGCTCAGCTATAATTCTTGCTCCTTAACAACAGGAAGCCTGATTTTACAGAACTCGTACTCCATTGATCTCTGGTGCCCTGAGTGCCCAGGCAGCCCTGGAGCAGAGCCTGCCAGCCTCCAGAAGGCAGCAACACAACCTGCAAACAAAACCTGACTGAACGCAGATCTTTGCCTTGACAGGGAAACACTTCCCACAGCCCATCACAAATCAATCAATTCTACACAAAGACAAAACCACTTCTATATTACTGCACAACAAAGCTGAAAAAGAGACATGACAAAAACCTCATCTGTCTCTCAGCTTTGCTTTCAAGAGCTGCTTTGCAGTGTGATGAAAGGTGCCCAATTGTTTCACCGTAATACGGCACTGCCAGGGCTGCATAAATTCCTGAAATGCAAAATCTCACTCACATCAACACCAACTTTGTAGACTGTAGATTTGATCCCTTTTAAGAATCTCCTGACATAGATATGCCTAATTTGTCATTTTTTTTATACTCAGGAATTTTTAAGTTCTTCTCCTACCTGTTTTAAGATATCTTTCTCATGAGAGGGCCTGCTAACATCCAAAATGCTGTGATCTAAGTACAAAAAAACCATGATCTGCACACTCCTGCTTTTATAACACAAATCCAAACACAGAATTAATGTGTACTTCATTACAGCTGCCAACTCTGATTCATTTTGTTCTTTGGACCCAGAAAGAGAAAGAGACAGGGACTGACAAGTTTGTTCACATGAAAGAAAAGCAGAAGCTATGGTTCTGTCTGGCTGGGGTCCTGTGACAAAAATGCCTCTAGGCCTACAGGTCAGGTTTTGCCCTCTGATGCAGTAAATCAATGGAGGTTGCATGTGAATACGTGAAAGCAGAATTTAGCCTAGGATTTTGCCCAAAGACGTATCAAATATTTTTTAAAAGTTATTTGATCTGTATTAGCAACAGTGGAGACATTAAGTACAAACAGGGATGGATATCTAGATTAACCAAATTTTGCAATCTCTAAAACAGGCTTCCAGTATCACCTGTTCCATGTTTCATTTCTCATTTGTTGTACCAAAAGACCCAGCTAATTCAAGAGGCTCAGTATTCACACCAGGCCATCATTTTCTTTTTAGCATTGGTGACTGAAGCATAGCAATTTGTAATCTGTTTCTTTTTAGCAAAAAGTTTAATATTTTTAATATGTATGAAATAATTTTGAGAAGTTCAACATTCATTTTAAATGTTCTTAAGCATGTGGGATATACATAAAGCCCTGAAAACATTGAATAATTCTATGTTGTTTCAAAAGATATAAAAATACGACACAAAAGATACAAATACAACCTGTTGAGGTCCAGGTTATCTCTAACAGGTAAAATATGTTTTTCATGCTGATCCTCTAATTTAAGTTGAATACAATACAGTGCACTGGAACTTCAAAACATGCCAAGTTAGTGTGTTGGGCAAAGTAAAACCTAAAAAATATATATTCTATTTTATGTAGTGAGACATTCAAATTCAAGCCATTGATCTAAATTTAAAGTAGTGATGAAAACTAAATGTCCCCATGACAGAACTTTAATTCTAGCATGGGAGCAATACTGTTTCACGAACAGAGCCCAAACTGATGCTAATATAAAAATATCAAGAATCATAGCACTTCTGCAAAGGTCAGAATTCGTAGGTCAAATGAGTCTCTCTTGACAAAAGTCCACAATATTTAAAAATTATTTTGATGTTAATATCTTCCTGTCTACCAATGAATTTGTATTCTTACTGAAAATCTTCCAAGCAGTACTTTCCCTGGTATTAACATTTGGAATGTTGCCTTATCAAAATGCCCCTTTTCTTGCAGGAATTCCATTTCCATTGTGAAAGATAAAAACATTTAACTCTTCAATGGAAACATTTATGGTTAGCTAGATAGTTTAATATGGCTAATTTTAGTATAGCTAGTTTTCTAGGGTTATAAAGCAGCCTTTTCTTATATTAGCGTGTTTTATAAATGAAATAGTGTGTTCTTTCAGCCTCACTCAGTATTACAAAAGCTTGCAATAATTGTCATTTACAAGCTGCTGTACAGAAACATACCACAGCCCATCTAAGTAACACCTCAAATACCACCACTGTGATCAAATCAAACCCCGCAGCCAGAGTTCCTTGTCTCCCAGCACTGCCCCCTCCCTGGTGCCCAGGCTGGGTGCCCTGGCTCACCTGGCAGATGCTGGGGGTCAGTGGGGTGGTCAGTGGCCGTGCCGGGCAGCACCACGCCAGGAACAGCTGGGCAGTGGCCACAGGTGACACGGGGGGGACACACAGCCTGCTTCCCCACCCTCCTGCCAGCAGAACCCCCCGGGCTGCTTTACCAGTGTCCAGCTTCACAGTGGCAGGTGACACTGCCACCCGGAGGAGTTAAAAGCCAACCTTTTCCTTCATTGATCGCTGATTGCTGCGGGTCTCCTGGCTCTAGAGAGCGAGTGCTAAGTGTGCACCACCAAGTGTCAATTGAGACAGCTGCTTACGTGTCAAGCACCTGTATTTCAGAAGTGTTGAGCACACAGAGCTCTCTGACTTCAAGTGGGAGTTGTGGATGTGCCCTCATTCATAAATCAGATCCTGTTGCCTAGGGCAAAACCAACAACCTCTACAAGTCCAATAGCAGAAAGTATAGTTAATACCTATGATATAACCACAGGAATCATCTTACACAAGCACCAATTACACCTGCATCCCAGCTGTTCAAGAGCAGGCTTTGATGTATGGGTGACACACTTTGTCTGAAACATATCACAATAGCAGCTATTAATTTATGTCGTCCCAAACTTGGAAAGAATTCCAGCCATTGCTGGTAGAACATCCAACACTGTTGGATTTTCTGTATTTAAATAGAAAACAACAGCTATGGCAAATATGTTGCACTGCTGAGTGCTGATGGCACAAGAACAGTTTCTTCTCATTTAAAGAACAGGATCATAGCAGCTCTCAATGGCAGCTGCACTTTTCTACATCAAAAAGCTCAACCAAGAAGTCCTTCAGCATTTCCTTCTGAGCTTATGTTTCTGCCTGAAACAAGAACTTCTTTGCCTTTCTTAAAGGCCAACTCTTTGAAAAATGGGAAGTATAATCCAAACATCAGTTGTCAAGACTAAGAATAAAAATGACATGACACAATTTCATTTACAGAAAATCTAATGCAGGGTATTTGCATTTATATATGTACGTAAAAAAATCATCAGAAAGAAACTTCTCTGAAAGGACCAGAAAAGCTCAATCTGACCATCACATTGCATTGTTTCCTTTCTCTTTTGAAATTTATTACCTGCTTATTATATATTTAAGATCTTCCAAACTTGATTATTCTCATGATGGCTCACATACTACACACAAACATTTTAATTAGGTTATTTAGCATGTATAATACATAGCACTTGAGCAGTTCTTCTGGGGAAAAAAAAAATAATCTAAAGAGTGACATCTAAATAGCTGAAAGTACCATGTGACAGGTAAGATAAAGTATAAGCAGAAAATAAACTGGATTTAGCTGTCATAAGTTCCTTCTTTTTGATAATCATAGAACATAACCCTTACATAGACAGCACTGATTTAAGCAGCAGGAATCAGTATTATTGGCAAGAAGGAGAAGAAAGAGAAGAGCTTTTTTAAATGCCAAATTATGATCACTTGGATGCTTTTATATGGCAACTGCCTTCATAACTAAAAAACAACTGTGGATACCTAACTTTCAGAAACACAATTTCTTTAAAGATAATAGACATTTACACATGCATACAATGTCTCAATACCAGATGCAACACCTTCAATAGCGGGCATACTGAAAACCTGAAGGTTAAATAATGACAAACTTCACAGATACAGCAACTTCCAACTTACAGCTAGAAATTTATTTTTAAATGTATCCCCTTATAGCCCTGCAAGTCCATGCTTAAATAATAAACTTCTCCCTGTATGATTAACTTTCCCGGAAGAAAACTGACATTAAAAAAAAAAAAAATCAGAAAAAGGAGAAAGATATAAGATCATGATTGCATTTATATTTACCTATGCTTCTTTTTAATATCAGCAAAGATCTGAATGCTGTCTACTCCAATGTGTTTTCTGTATTGTAGCAGGTCACCTGCACAGGCATTTATTTATTATTCCTTCATCAGCAACATGAGAAAACACAAACCCTTCAACCCGGATAAAATCAAGACCTGAAAACAGTCAAAAGCAAAATTTTAGCCCAAAACTGAGAACTGGAAAAGAAAAGCACTAAAACCAAGTGAAAATTCATCTTACTGCTTTTCCTGTTTGATCCCAACACAAATTGTTTCATGTGCTCTAGGACTAACCCACTTCACTTTCCCACATATTTTCCATTCTTTATTTATGCCCCTATTCTCTCTGACTTCTTCCCATCTCACCGCTTTCAGTTCCCACCTCTCCCACTGACCCCACCAGTTTTCCCCCATCCCCTGGTCCCCTTCTCTCCCCCTCAGCCCCTCAGTTTGTTCCTGTGTGGCTCAGAACAGGCAGCTGCACACCCTGCCCTGTCTACTGCCATGATGTGCCAGACAGAGGAGTAGGTGGGTCTAAACACAGCTCTCTGTTCTAATGACATGTTTTCTCTCCAAAAAGGGTCACTAACTTGCATCTTTCCAGGCTATAGACACAGAGGAATAGCATTGTCATCTTTCTTTAGAAAATTAGGCAAGAAAGCACAGCCTGGAACACGTTATATGCAAACCATGAGACTCCATCTGAACGTAGCGTGTGCTTCCTACACAGCACCACATCAACAAATTGCCTCTAGAGCTGTGCCAAAGGCTTAGGAAGAGTCAAAGCCATTCTACTCCAGCCATCAATTCTGCCATGCCTTAGTAACACAGGTACCACCATATTCATTAGGTTTTGTCACTAGGAACTTTTTGTGGGATGGATACTGAAGAGGAAAATTATGAATTGTAATTACTTCATGTGGGCCAGTCATTGACATCCAGGGCCCCCCTCCACAGCCTTGAAGTATCTCTGTTGTAAGACTAACCTTGGATCACAGAGCAATAAGCCCACCACAGCACTGAGGCACAAGATTTAATTCTCACTCCCTTATTGCAATCCCCACTTCTCTCCTGTCTTTCATAGCCTTGAACGGTCACTTAAAACCTGCCTCTTGTGTCAAATCTCTGCACTCATCTTGTGCAGTTTTGCTGCTCTTCCAGTTTGCTTTGGAGGTGCCTTCCAAACCCTCTGCTACTGCTCCAGCTTTGGAGTCAGATGCACATTTAATTAGAGCTGACATCACACAAAGGAAAGCAATGCATGTGGAAACAGCCATCAAGAATGCAATCCTACCCACAACTGATTAGGCAACAGAGGCATTACCTTAGCACATTCCAACTATAAACAGAGATGATCTTGAAAATTTATTTACCAAATGACAAGGTGTCTGTTTATTTTAAAATTCCAGTTTGATTCCAAAAGCCCTGAAGTTGCAGAAACAGAAGCTTACGCTGATAGAGAAGAGCCTGCATTGCTTAGCAACACAGACTCCAGCTCACAAGGAACATCACAGATGGATGCCAAATCAAATGCAAGCTGTCCTGTGCCGTGAGATTAGTGCAAAGCACGGAGTATTCCCAGGATCCAAAGACAAGAGTGTGCCACAAGTACCACTGCAGGTGCTTGTAGACACTGGTGATAAACACAGTGCAAACAGTTAAACTGAGATTTCTACATCTAGGAACAAAAGCTATAGATTCTAATTACATCACCCAAGCTTACAGTGCAATTCAGAGTTATATAAGAATAATTATTTCTCTAATCATAAAACTGTGGATGAGCCTAGAGACATGAAACCTTCACAGCAATTGAGGTTTAACTTCAGACACAAGCTATTCACTGAGTAATTTCATTTACTGAAGTCACTGCTTACACACTATTGATGCTTGGTTTGTGTTTCCTTAGTGCAGTAATATAAGACTTTCTGCTAAACACTAGATTGTACTTGGTTTAACAAGGCTGCACTCTCAATCTGGGTTTTTGGAGGCCATGAAAATACAGTTTTTAACCAAGTGTAATAGGTGGAGGCACCATATCATTACCCTTCTGTTTTATGAAGCCATAATCAGATTCTGCTAATGAATTCATTTTTATGCTCATAAAATTGTGAGCATGATACTACTGCTTACTTTCACATTTGGCAAGTTGAAAAGTAATAGTCATTGAATAGTTAATAGGCAGCCCCATTTCTGACTTACAAGGGAACAACACATTTTGTAGTTTCACTGGAAAACAAGAATAGGGAATATCCAATAAAAACTAATAAACAGAACTCTTAGAGAAGCACTGACTTTGCTGCTGACACTGGAGGCACAGTGTGTCTGTGCTGCAAAAATACTTCTCAGGACACTGTCTTGCAGCAGCTCCTGCCGTGCTCAGCATGGGCTGCAGGCACAGGGGCAGGTCTCCAGCAGCACTCCCAGCAGGATCCACAGCACTCCCTGCCTTTTACAGCATCTCTGGGTGCTCCCTGCTGTAATTCTCAGCTGAGCTGCCTCCCCTCACCACTGCATTAATATGGTGGCAGTTAAAAAGGACAGCAAAAACCATAGCACACAGCTCTGCCTAATTCTGTCTTACTCTGAAGAGTGTCGTGGATGATAGCAAGTGAATCCCCACTCTGCTGGTGCAGGAAAGGAATGGGCTCAGGCAGCAAAGCTGTGTTTGCAGAAGACATGGAGAGATCTGGGATATGTCCTGACATAAGCCTTGTTTATCAGCTATCAAATGTGTCATCACCATTGACGAAGACTGATCCAGAACTGGAATTTCAGTAACTTGATTCTTAAAGGAAAAAGGGCAGCTTCAAGTAGAGAGGGCAGTTGGACTAAATGACTGTTTGTCCTTTCCAACTGAACAATTTTTTGCTAAATTTATGAGATAAGATAAACTTAAAAATTGAGCCCTGATCCATGATAAGTGACCCAGGCTCACCCAAGCACTGGATCCTACAATCCTTGCTCAAGCTAGTTGAGCTCCTAGTCAGACTGCAGACCTGTGGATTTCCTCCCACCCTTTACCAAATAAAATCACAACCTTCTCCTAGAGACCAGTTATAAATTCCCTGTGTGGTTCCCTTTAACACTTATTCCTATCAAAGACAGGGATCTCCACGGGGAAAATGAAATTAATGTATAGTAGGCAGAAGATGCTATGTATGGTTTGTAGCTGAAACGCCTTCAGCAAGTTATTTTTGTAGTGACAGCATACAGGATTTGCTTTGTTAATAGCTACCTATCAAAATTGTATTGACATTAAAGTCACTACTAAGTTGCTACAGAAAAACTGTTTAAAGATTTGCTACCTACAAATTAGTACCCACTTTACCATGGTTTTGCTTAAAGTGATTTTCTTTTTACTTCCCTGTTCAGTGAACTTGAGCCAATCATTTTTAGAGAAGTACAATGAAATGCATTAAACACAAGCCCTTCCTGGTTGGTGTTCTACAGTTACAGAGGAAATAGTGCAGAACAGTACAGTAGTGGAGCTGAGCAGAACCCAAGCCCTCCAGGAATTCTCCTCTTCATTAATAATTGTAAAGAAGAGAAATACATTGTTCCCAGACCATATCCCTTATTTAGTGATGATTTTTGCTCCTCAAAGAATTTCTTTTAAAAATAGGCTATGTGCTATTTTTCCAAATATCTATGTATCTCCAGTGGCCCACATGCAGCAACCTCTAAAAACTAAAACTGGTTTCTGTTATCATTTTTATTTGAGGTTTTCATATATGTTCCAATGCAGCAATAAAAATTAGATTTTCTCAATTTGTCAAGTGGCTAGATACTTTGAAAATAGCAACATCTGATTTTAAGGCTCACAAAACTAATGTCAGTTCAAAACACATCTATTAACAAGAATTTAAAGCTTTTAGAACATATTAGGCATAATTAAAACTGCCACTGCAGATAGGTTAGCCTACATGATTGTACCTGAAGTATGGCTTTCACTTAACACCAGCATCTTCTGCCTGCTTCTGTAAAATTTGTACATGCAACAGTGTACAGCCTTACCATAATGACAGTAAATTTGGGAAAAAACATGCATTAACCCTCAATTTGTGAATTTAGGAAGTACAGGCTTTCCATATTAAGCCAGCCTTCATCTTTAGATCAGAGAGGGCTACATATGAAAAACTAAAATTGCTTCAGCAAACAGTAAGAGCAGGAAGCTTAGCCAAGTCTAGGATTCATGCAATAAGAATAGATTAATTTATATTTAATTCCTCCAAAGGCAATTAAATTTTAAGTACTTTCACTATCTATACCTCAATTTCTGTCATATAAAAAGCTTCATTCTACTTATTCATTAAAAAAGACAACAAAAATTTAGTTTTTATGGACAACAGTAGCAGCAACATCATATGCTGAAACAGGATGCTTAACCACCATGGGTTAAATTGGTCCTTGCATATAATATAACTGAAGTAAATAAGAGTTACACCAAAGGTGGCTTTTGGACATGAGCAGATTTAAACTAATGATTACATTTAGACAGGTTTCACCCAGAAAGCTGTGGCGAAGCCTTTAGCAGCCTCCAACTGAGGCAGTGCACAAGTACCATCCACTCTAATCAAGCAGGCATCTTTCTCAGAACCTGACTCTGCCTTTTCAGGGCAGTCAGCTTTCCACGATATCTATGCCAGCACAAGGTGCAGTGAATGCCACAGCCATGCCTGAGGAGCCCTTTGCATTACCTGCAGCCAGAGCAATGGCTAGTGCCTGCTGGTTGGCAGCACACAGCACCTGGACACCCAGAGGGACACGGGGACAGCTCTGTCTCAGGGCAGCACCCAGCACTGCTCTCTTGGCTTGTAAGATAAGCATGTATTCCATCTGCCATCTGTTGGAGGTTGGGCAGTTTTCTTATTTTCTTATTTCTCATTCCAAGAACAATGTCTCCCTCCGGGGAGATATCTTCTGTTAGAAGTCCATGGAATGACTCACTGCATGACTGGTAAAGTTACATTATCCCATGGTGAGATGCTCCACCCAGAGGGAGGAGCCAAGCATCCCTACCTGCATAAAATCAGCATTTTTGGGACACCAGAGCAGCCCTTCGCTGGATTCCCAGAGAAGCAGCTTCTTCTCTGCTGGATCCCCAGAAGAAGACCAGGCCCACCTACTCCATCACCAGACCTTCAGAGAAAACTCCACCCTTCTACAGATCACTGCTCCAGCAGCATTTCATCTGCCACTCCAGGAGGAGCAGCCACAATTTAACTGGACTATTACCAACACCCTGACTCCTCAGGGTGTCAAGTTTCTGACTCTATCACTAGTTTTGTTTGTACTAATTGCATATTTTTTTATTTTTATTTAGTTTTTCTCCTAGTAAAGAACTGTTATTCCCATTTCCATATCTTTGCCTGAGAGCCTTTTAATTTTGAAATTGTGGTAATTCGGAGGGAGTGGGTTTACCTTTCCCATTTCACAGGAGGCTGTTGCCTTCCTTCACAGACTCCTGTCTCTTCAAACCAAGACAACTGCCATGGCTGCGGTGACCTCCGGGCCCGGGCACACCGTGTACGGCACATGGTGCATGTTCTCTAGGATCAGCCTGGGGAGAGAGGGATACAAAAACATCATTGCACTGTACAAACATGCTAGTTCACCATTATATATTGTGCACTGAGACACACAAGTGTAAAGGTTTCCCTTCAAAGGGAGGATTACCTACAGCAAGTTGTGTTGATGCATTTGATGCGCACTTATAAAAGTGCTTTCATCAACAGCATGGTGTTTGCAGTGAAATCATACAGAGAAATAAATGTGATTTTAATTATACATTCATCAATTTGGGTTCCTTTGATCCATCCTAAAATGTGAACTATAGGCAAATGAGTTAAATCTTATACCTCATTAAAAATAGTGTAAAGTCAAACTTCAATTATCCAAGGGGAATACAGGATATTGAGTATGTTCAGATAACAGAGGACTCTGAGATAATCAGGGCAATTTTCAATTCAATTAATGTCAGAAAATAAGTGTTACTTTGGATAAATAAAGGAATTTTTTGTTTGACTGTTATTGTGTCAAATGCCATAATATGAACTAGTGATATTTCTCCCATTCTGTATTCAGAATTACTGGAAAGAAGATATTGCTATTTATTGTCTATTATATCTCTCCATCCACATGGACATACTCTTAGCAAACAATGGAGTGATGATAAAATACTCTGCTGATACAATCTGCACATTACCTGATGCCACGCACATTTCTAATCATTGCATAGGCTATACCAAAAAGTTTGCAACAATTACAGATAATACATAATTTTGTTAAGGATTAATAACAAGAGTAAAAGTAGAGCCTTGAAACATATTCCATGCCTGGTATTTTGCATTAACAGTAGGAAGATGAAAAGAAAACCAGATATTTCTCACCAGCATAATTCTACAAATGCAAGAAGTTTAATAGACAAACTAATTGTATATATAGCAAATAAATTCTGCTCTCTCTGGAGTTTTATCACACATCTTAATCCTTTAAAATGAGAGCTTTACCTTTCACAGAGATGATAACTGAACAAGAATAGAAGGAACATTTTTTTGGGAAAAAATACAATTAGAGATTAAACATAGCAGCTTGGTTCTTAATAAAACAGAGAATCAGAAAGGGGAAACAAAAAAAAAGTTTCCTTTTAAAAAATCTTTTCTATGTGACACTTCTCTAATCTTTGTTGTAGTATGGAAACCCTTCTGGCAGTAAAAGATAAGACAGTATATAAAATAGTGCCAGCATTTAATGGATGAATTACAGGCTATGGCACAGGCATCATAAATGAACACTCAACACAGAAGCTGGGGAAAAGTGAGAAGGAAATGATCCAGCGGTCAACATGGTCAGTTCAAGCACACAACCTGCAAACATTCAATGCACCAGGGCACAGCTGCCTTCTCCAAATTACTGAACTGAGTAATTTAAATACAGCTGAGTATTTAAATACACAAAAGACATGCTACCTAAAAAGCAATGGGACACAACCTGTTAATGGAAAAGGTGACTGGATATGATGACATGGCACATCAGAACTTTGCACTCTGTGATGCCATTCACCAACATATTTAATTACATAATTCCAGCCCAGGAAAACCTGAATTAGGCAAAGGAGCACCAGGTATGGCAACAAACCAAAACATCTGCACTTGACTTTGTGTGTCCAATTCAATATGTAACATCCACCCTTCTGTACCTGTAATGGGAGGTAGCCATATGGCCAAGATGACAACCTGTCCTAAGAAAACCACAAAAAAACCCCACATTTTTAGTCATTTTTTCTGGAATTAGGTTAGGACTGCTCCAACAAACCTGAACTGACCAAATGGTCTTGGTACCTGAGGCACAGCTGCTGAATCCTTTGTGGTACCAACAGAAAGAAAAACCCTGTAGCCTCTTTTTCTCTCTACACATAAATACATTAAGTCAGCCTCAGCAAGAATGCAAAGTTGGTCAGTAGTTGCATGTGGCAAAAGGACTAATGTAGAACTATAATACTTTAACAAAGCAAATTCAAAAAAATGCAATGAACCATCAAAACTAGGTAATTCCTTGAGGCAAAAAAGCCTGGAAGCCCTTGGCTCAGAAATGCTCTGTTTGGCAGACTTCAGCAAAATCTGGGTATCAGGGAAACTCCAAGCTTATCACTAAAGGCCAGGAACCAGGATCTGTGAAACAGCATCCCTAGGCTTCCAGGCAGTCAGGAATCGATCTCAACAGGAAGAAAGGCAACTGGGAATGGGGCTTCAAAATGCTCAGCTCCTCAAGAGCCACATAGTAGCCAAATAAAAGCAAGAGAATGGGCTGGCAGAATTCCACAGTGAAAAAGTTTTTCACAACTTGCTATTACTTTGACCGTTCTGGATTTGCATAAAGCAAATTATTCCATTAGCGACATTAATGAATTAATTCATTTAATAAGTTATAAAAACCCCTAGCCATAGTACTACACATAAAAAGTGTCTCATTAAATTCTAACTCAAAATGCAGGCATATGGGAGAATTGCAACAGTTCTCGTTCTCTCTCCTGCTTTAAATTTACTATATTCACTTTTCAGCAACTGCCTCTTCCTATAGCCTCAAGGTCCACAGTTACAGTGAATATTTTTGATAGAACTTTAATAATGTGTTATTCTTTTGGTATCATCCGACTGTTCTTTTGCATATTATGCTTTGTTTAATTAAAAAGAGAACAACATATGTTCTGCAATACAGAAAACTGAATTACAGATGCATTAAGTCAAAGCTTTCTTTCATATTTTATATAAAAATATAACACCACAGATTTGTGTTTACTGAATTGATATGTATAGGAAACAAACTTCAGTACTATCAGAGAGCTAATTAAAATGGGGGAAAGAAAACAGTTATGCTAAATTAAAGTTCTTGGAACTCAAGCTTATGGTTTAGAAGCCTATGGAAACACCTTCTGCATTATATCCTCCAAAGCAGGATTTACATAGATAGTATGAGATAAAACTCCTGCAAGCACCTTCTGTCCTCCTTTTCCATTAAATGTTAAGATAATTTAAGTGTTGCTTATATGCAATAGCCTTATTATAAGCAATTATCAAACAATATATTTCCTTTTTACTTTGAATGACTTCTGAAGTGCTACACATGAAGTGCCCTTTGTATCACAGTTAGCTACTGAAAAATAGGCTCTTTAATTAGCTCTCTAACTATATGAAAAATAGTTTCCTTAGCTGTATTCCACTTACAGAAATAACCTCTTAAAACACTTCAGCCTCACACATATTACAGTATGCCTCAAAACAGTACCAAACCGCAACTGAGGTAACAATTGCACAAGTTTTAACTCAGTATACACCTAAGCTAACTTTTTCCCAGGGCAAATTTAACCCCAGTGTTTCTCGCCAGAGAAAGGCTTTACCTGCAAACACGTGAACATCAATACAAACCTCTCTAAGCTCATCAGCCTTCCTCCAGAAAGGGAGCAGGCCCTGCACCATCCCTGTTATTGTACAGGCTCAGGTGGAGACTGAGACAAGGCAGCAATTGTCCCCACGCTCCTCGTGTGCCTTTGCAGAGCTTTTAATTGGTGTTTGTAAGCACAGCTCTCAGCAACTTTTTCAAAAACTCACCTCCAGAGCAGGTCACTGCCTTAGCAGAAGTAAGCTGCTATCTCATGTTCTTCTGCACTCTCCATAGGAGGTAGCTGTAGGCAGCCTGTCTGCTATTTTATTTTCCCGTAATACAGCTGAGATTTGAAATGTTAACCTCTGTAATCAAAGTGAAAGCTACCTACGTGTTTCTGTATAGAAATACTACTTTATTCTGTCTCCACTGTTATTAAATTCTAAGTTGTGAATTCCAGTTATCACACTAGTTATAAGAGCAATAGGCTTACCACTCTTTTATTTTTTAAAAACATCAATGTAAAACATAAACTAGTAACTGTTTTTAATGTCAGCTACTCCAGTAGCTACGGTGAGGAACAGTAACTAACAGTCAAGTGGGAATCTGAGCTCTGTTTTCTAGTTACAAAATAAATGTCAGCCAGGCTGAATGGAATGAATAAAAGTTAACCTGAATAGATATATGTTGCCTCTTCCTTAAAGAAAAGCAGGTACAAATTGGAGGGATTATAATGCCTCATAGCCTGCTGCTTATAAAATCTTGTCTAGGGAATTTCATTGTTTAGCAACACACAAGTACAAAGCATATACATTTTGAGCACAGATGGCTTCCTAACTGAGCACTCACTTGTTTTCATTACTATGCTCTAATATCACAAATTTTTCATATTTATTATGTGAAGCTGTGAATGTGCCAGACAAGTCACCTTACTCTGAATATACCACGATTTACTTCCAAGTGCAACGCAGATGGAGTGAGCAAGACCATATACTTTATTTTTAAATGTTAACACCAATTTGAACTATTTGAGACGATATGTAAACATCTAAATAGCAGCAAATGGTTATGTATCTTTTTAAGGGCTACTGTGGGCAGCATCTGGGAACACTGTCAGTACAGACATCCACGGGGAAAAAAACCCTTTCTCTAGCTCTTCTTCCACAAGAAAAATGGACAGCTTAACAGTTCCTTTGGAATACTGAGCAAGAAACCCAAATAGATTTCCATTCCAGAATACTGAGTTTCCCAACTCTGTGTAAAAGCTGGGAAGCTCCTGAAAGCATCTATCATGAAAACTTTCATTTCTCTTAAAGCACAAAACACTAAAGAACTGAATTGCAGAAAGTGTTAAGCAAACTACTGATGTTTATGGAGGCTCTCCTGATTATCTCTGAGACTTATCTCCTTAATAAAGGATTTGTTTCTTATATTGCTGTAACTCTGTTCTGTTCTATTCTCTAACACTGGTCAGACTTTTAGAATGAAGACTGGTGTGGAAGTATATTGATGTTCCTGTGACTTCTACAGGAAAATGTAGAAGTTATAATTAACTCTAAGCCCTGAATTTGTCCAAATGTGTAGAGAAATGACTGCATTCACCTCATGTGTCTCCTGACAGGTAGGTTTAAAGATATATTCAAGTTCAGAGACTGCAATACTTTTGCAGAAAAGGTAAACCTGTAAGAGCTGGAACTGCAGAATTGAGTACAACTGTTGAAAAGACAAAATATAAAAGCCAAATGGAAATTTTGTCTTAGTACTGATTTTAAAGCTTATCTCAAAGCTGCTCCAGCAGCTTTGTGCATTCCAGCAGTGGCAGTAACTGCTTCTGTACCATCCTTCATCTTCAGGAGTATTTGGTGCCTTCCCCCTGCTGTTGAAGGTTTCAATGTGTAATTATTATGTAAGGAAATGAGCAAACATTGCTCCACTGCAATGTGGAGCAATGGCTTTATGAGTTATAGATTATCTGTGCAAGCACTTCCTCTGGCACAGGAAGGCAGAGATTAGTGTTTGCCACTCTTCTGATGTGATCGAATCACATAATACCCCATGGAGATACTGCAACAACAAAATACAAAGGCACAGTACAGAATACAGAGTTACTGCACACCTGCTCTTTCAGGAGGAATGAAAAGGAAGAAAACTTCCTTGTTCTGTTCAGCTTGCAGTCAGGGACTGTTCTAACTGGGTGGACATCTCACACATGCTCATCTGGTTCACAGGTACTGAAGCCCTGTGAAGGTTACATCATTTTACCCCAGTGCTGTTTATCCTTTCAATGATTCTATTCTCAGGATTCTTTCCTAGTTTAGCCTTACCAGGGCTCTGCCCATAACCTACCTTTTGTGACTTGTCTTGCATTTTGACCTTGTTCTTCTATTCTTTAAACTAAGCTCTTGTATTCAATTTTGTTTTGTCTGTATAGTATCATTCTAATTTATAGATTAAAAATGTTTCAACCGATTTGTTAATAAAGTTTTTCTGAAAGTAGCAGCTTGGAGCAGTGACAGTTTGTTCACTGAATACATTTTAAAACCTTGGACACCACCAGAAAATGCTCATAATGCTGTGGGCAGGTCAAAGAAAAAGCACATCAACAACCCAAGACAAGGTGTAATGAAATGTTTAAAACATATCTGACCTTTCAAAAGGACATACACCCTGTTAAAATCTACTGACCTATGAAGATTACTACACCCCTTTAAGTCCAACAGCAATTCTGACAGCAGTCTCTTCTTGCCTCTGGCTGAGAATGGCCTTTTGGGCCTGCTCTTCTGGACGTGCAAAGCAGGCATGTTTGCTGCCAGAGTCCTGGAGAGAGGCTTAGAGGGGGCAGAAAAGGGCCTGAGCCTTTTTTTTTTTTCTTTAGATCCTGAATTCTTTGTGCTGTTTTGTTACAAACACAGCTGTGGGGTGATCCTGCACCCTCCAGGTTCCTGAGGTATGCATGCAGTGTATCAGCTGTGCACATGGCATAGCTCCACGACCTCAGGAAACCAGAGGATTGGACAGACTAAAAATACAGTTGCTTGTCAGACTAGATTGATGAAGCATGCTACAGCCAGAGACCTTGAATGCCAGCAACAGCCCATATTTCTGGCCACTTTTTTTAACTCCTTAAATTGACTTGATTCATCCAACTCAAACAACTTGAACTGTACAATTTGAATCTAAGTTTTTTCAGTTGTTTTGGGTGCAAGTGATACTTACCTTAGGTTGGTTTGTTTTGGGGTTTTTTTTTGTTTGTTTGTTTTTTTCATAATCTAGAAGGCCTACTTCCTATGTTGAAATAAACAACATGGATTTAAGCATCTCTAATCTATGAGCTTCAAGATGCTTTTGATCTTGAGCTGTAGGCTCAATTTAAAATTCTGGCTATGCACAAGTGGTTTTGTGTAATGGTCATCATGGGAAGAAAGAAACCAAAACTTACAACTCCAACATCCTTGTAAACTTCTGCCTCCTGACGTGCTTGATCAATGATCTGGGTCAATGGAAGAGAACTTCTTGGTGTCCCTGCAAGAATAATGCTGCTTAGCCCAGGGCATGCACAAACCAAACCCATGGACAGTAACAGCTTCGGGTAGGTCATCCATGGGGACTGCACACTGAAACAGGGACATACAGGGCAAATTTGTTCAAAGGCTGCCCTATCTCCTTGTGACATGCCTTAGTGACCTTTCTTTCCTTAGCTGAACTTGGCAGAGCTGCTGTACCCATTCAGCACCTAAATTTAATTCACAAACTTGAAGAATGTCTGCTATAATCCCCTATTGCACTAGGTCTGCTCTTAGCTTGCTATTCACATACTTGTAATTAATCCTGCATTAGTAATGCTCCAGACAATACAACCGATGGGCACAACTGACCTCTATGTCAGCACAGAACACCTATGCCAAGCATCAGTGAGTTAAAAACCAGTTAAAGCTGTCCTTAATCTGCAAAATTGACTGTCTCTGATCTTCATGGCAGAAATACACACACAGATTTTGCTGGAGTTCAGTGAATTTGCCTTAAGACCAAAGTCTCTTCTGCTATTTGGGCTCCTAAGGCCAGGCAGTGGGAGTGTGAAATGGAGACTGAGCTGAGCCCTGTGCCAGCTCTGTTGGCAGGCCTGATTTCCTAGCACAGGGGGAGCTGGCTGTCCCACCTGGGGCTGCTTCTGGGAAAACGTGGGGCACATGAGCTCTGGGCATCATCAGCCTGTCCAGGGCAAGGTGGGCTGTCCTGATCAGCTCTGCCCACCCTGAGCTCCTGGAAAGGTGGGCGAGGAGGCCAGGCTGGAGCAGATCCTGAGTGTTGTCTGAGCTTCCCACTGCCTCTAAGGGCATGAGAGATCTCTAGCCAGCCTCCATCTGAGCAAGTCCCTGACCCTTGAAACACAGAGCTGGCCGAGCCCGAACCCCTGTTTTCTCAGCCAGCTCCCTGTGTGGAGCTGCCTCCCGCCGTTTTTACCTCAGAAAGGGGGAGCGCTCAAACGTAGGGCGCTTCATGAGGGGCCGTGGCTGCGGTGGAGGGACATCCTTCCAGGGGGACCGCAGCCGGGATGAGGGGTGACGCCGGCGACTCGGTCCCGGTCCGGGTCCCGCCGGCCGTGCCGCCCGCCCGCCGCTTACCTGGCAGCGCTCCCACGGGCACCATCCCGACCACCGCGGCGTGGCCTGCGGGGAGGGGAGGCGGGCGTCAGCGGGGCCGGGCCGGGCAAGCCATGGAGGCGGCCCCGCCTCCCGCAGCGGGCCGGGACAGGGACCGGGCCGGGACCGAGCCCGGGACAGGATCCTCGGCTCGGCCCGGCTCGGCCCGGCTCGGCCCCGGCCCGGCCCGGCGCGGTCCCACGTGCCACCGCCGCTCCCGCCGCTTCCGCGTCCGGGCCCCGCCCCGGGCCCGCTCCGCGCGGGATCCGCAGGCCCCGCCCCGGGCCCGCCCCTGCCGCGGCGGGACCCGCGCGTCTCCCGCGCCCCGCCGGCCCCGCCCCGGCCCGCGCGGGGCCACGTGCGCGGCCGGGAGGCGGCCCCGCGCCGCCGCCGCGCGTTTAAATGTCCCGCCGGGCGCGGCCCGCGCCGCGCGCACGGACGGGAGCGGCCGCGCCGTGAGGCAGCAGCGCCCGGCGGAACTCGCCCTGCCCCACCGGCCCGGCACCCGCCGACCGCCCGCTCCCGGGCGGCAAGGGCCGGCGCGGCGGTGAGTGAGCGGCAGCGCGGGCGGGCAGGGGGCGTTGGGGGAGCCGGTGGGGCCGGTCCGGCTGCCCGTTGCGCGCCTCTGCCGGCCTTTGTGGGGGGGTCTGCGGCCCGCTCGGCCCCGTTCCGCGCGGCGCTGGGCCGGCCCAGGCGGGTGCCGTGCGCCGGGAGAGGTGAGTGCCCGGGCCGCCCTGCGCGGGCCCTGCAGGCCGGGCACCCCGGGCCGCCCGCGGCCGGCGCTCGCTCAGCTTCCCCTCTCTCCGCAGTGACTGCGCGCACGACAAGGCTCCTGCCGAGGGGGACGCGGCTGCGGAGTCCGCCATGCGAGCCCGCAAGAGGAAAGCCGATGTGGCCACGGTGAGTGCGGGCCCGGCCCCGCGCCCTCGGCGCCTTTTGTTGGGTGCGGGCCCCACGCGGTGGGCCGGGCCGGGCCGGGTGGGCCGCGGGGCTGCGCTCCTGCGGGACCCCGCGTGTGTCACAGCTGCCAACAGCTGCTTGTCCCGCCGGCTGTGCTCCGGAAATCATGTGTCGCTTCTTGTAGTTCTTACAGGATCCTGATGAAGAAATTGCCAAAATGGAGATGACTAGAAAAAGGCCGTGTGAAAAACAGGTAATTGAATTGGCTTTATATGTAAATATTGTAATCTTGTTTAACCCTGCAGTTACTTTGCAGTACCTCATTATTTATTGCAACGTGGTGAAACGTGCTGCTGCCACATGCTGCATAGTAGTGGGGGACTGTTGGCCCTGGTTGATGATGGAGTGTGCAGAACAATACAGTTCATATTTCAATACAGTTTTAAAGCTTTTGTAAGATATAAGGCCTGTGTTGGTCTGAAGCATTATGTTAATGCTGAAGTGTATTCAGCTGTCCTGGGGTTGCAAAGGTGCACCTGTCAAGCCTTTGGACCTATTCTGCATGAGGTGCAAAAGTACAGTCATGTGCTTATGTACCTTGTATCTGTGCTCCTTAAGCAAGCAGACAGAATCATCTCTTGAAGTGGTTCTCTTTGCAGCTGTGTCTCTACTTCTTTGTCATCTGGGAAAGAGGAAAGTGTCCCTTTTTTTCCTAGATCAGCTCTATTCCTATTGACAAGGGTAATTATTAGACAGGCTAAGTAAGGAGTTCTTGGTTAGAACCTGGAAGTGTGTACTAGAAACTCATGGTATAGTAAAACAGGCTTTGTTTCTCTGCAGAGCAAAGGAATATTGCTATAAAGTTACTCTACCTGTGAAGATCAGTCCTCCAGTGGAGGTTGATAGTGGCCATTGCCAACTTTCTCAGCAAGACATGTAGAATGAATCAACTTAAAAAGTCAAAACTCATTTTACTGGTGTCCTCTAGTTCCATTTGTGTGCTTTCCATATTCTTGAAAAAGCAGGTGCTTTTGGGATCTCTGTTGGATGCTGTGTGATGTTGAAAGCATGATGCTTTTGTACCTTGAGTAGCCTGTGTCCTGGAATAGGTTCATTCCCCTCCTTTTTCCCCTGAACACGTGCACTCCTGCTCAGTCACTGTCACTCCAGCCTGTCACTGCACACGCAGGGTGATGCTGAAGTTGCAGAAGTCACACTCAGGGTGTGCAGCCTGTCCTCATTTGGTAGTTGAGGCAGTGCAGAATGTGGCTCATCTAACCCAAAGTGGCAGCTGGAAGTTCTAAGACTGAAGTGCTACCATAACAGATGGGCATCATTGTTTGGAATGGCCTCTGCTTGTTGCAACTGCGTACACTAGTTATCAGTCAACATATTAAGCAGGGCTCAAATGGTGAGCATTTAATGAGGGGATCTCTCCTTCCCTTCTGTCTTTCTTTTGCACAGTATATTAAACTAATTTCTCACTTCTGACAAGGAAGAGCTGCCTGTCCTTCACTGCAACTTTCTCCTTCACCAGAAGATTCATTCTGTTTAAACTGAGCAAGGCCTTCTCGTGCATGTTTATTGCATAATAACAAGGTATTTCTTAGAAAATCTCAATGGGGACCCAATTTTACTCTCTTCCAGAAAGACAGTGGAAGGAAACTTGAAGTATGTTTTTGCATATGTTGACCTTCAATTTTCAAAGCAGATAAAGACTTCCAATTTTGTCTCCTTGTTTGTGCTCTTGGCTTGGTAGCCATTTAGTGTTACTTCAGTATGGATAGGTAAACTAAAACTTAGATAATATAGGTAGTACGCATCAAAAATCTTTACTTGGGAATTTTTCAAGGTAATTATAGTATGCTGGTGGAATTTGACCCTTTCGTTCTATAAACAATAAATAATATCATGCCTATATCTTTCCCTACATAGATCAGGTATTTTTGTTGTGACAAAGTAGCCAGATTGTTCCAGATCTGGTTAAAAAAGCTAACATTTGGCTGCACAGCAGCAGTTCTTCAGTCTATGGTGTGACACAAGCTATTCTCTGATATAAATTGCCATGGACCACTAATGAGAATATGTTTATGGTTCCAGCAGCAGTATAGCAGGCTGGAATGATAGCCAGGGCGACAGTTATTCTGTGGAGACACGACAGTTCTAAAATGTAAGCAGCTATAAATCCACTGCAGCCTATGCCACATGACTTCTGCATTAAATAAATTGTTTACTGACACTAGCTTATCCACAAGGCAAAATATCAGAGTCACATCCCACTTTATGACATCTTCATAGTCAATTCATTAGTTTGCTTCTGTGGAACATAAGGCCTCAGTTCTTAATTAGGATGCCGTTACCCTTTATGTGATGAAAGGGTGGCTATATCATCAGGTCTGTGACAGCAGAATATTGCATAAATTCTGTGTTTGATTTTGGAGAACTGGCACTGCTGTAATTCTGCTAGCAATTCTCATACTAATTCTGGCTGCTTTGTGGGGATGAATACACTTCTGAGGCTCCATGTAAAACAAAATTCATCTAACTAGATTAGAATAATCTGTGTAATTGTGACACAAGTTGCATGATCACCTCCATATAAAGTGAAGAATTGAATCTATAAGTTAGTTTCTTTAGATGAAACTAGCTAATGTTTTCACATGTGAAGGTGGAGTAAACTCTCATGAAGGAGTTTTGATCAGTTTCTCACTAGATGTTTTTCAGAATCTGATGTTAGCATTGTCAGAGTGTTCCACGTAAGTGTTTTGAAAGTAGCCTCAAAAAGTTTCTTTTACTAATGTAGATTAACTTTTGAAGATTCAATTAAAAAACTAAACAAAACAAAGCCCACAAAAAAGGAGTATAAACTATATACATGTTGAGAACTGACTTGGCTCTAATCTGGATCAGGACATTTTAAAGGAGTAGACACTCCTAAGCTATCCCAATAGGATTGGACCAACTTAATAGTGTGAGCTGCTATTTTCTATCCTGTTTACTAAATCTGGAATTCCCTTGTGATGCAAAGAAAAATTACTTCAAAGTAATGCATTTTATGAGTGAAAAATGGATAGAATTATAGGTCTTGCTGTTTCTGATGGGCAGACTAAGGCTGTGGACTTGGAAGTGATGCCATTGTCTATGGTATAAGGTGCTGCTTTTAGGGTGACAAACAGGCCTGTTCCCCTGCCATTGATTTCCATGCTGAGAAACCTCTGATGTTGCTGTTTGAATGCAGTTCTGTCATTCTTTTCCTTCTGCTGCACTCATTGCTTGTCAGTAGAAGCTCATTCTGGTGGCTCCTAACTCACATTGAGGTGCCCAAGTGTTTCAGGAGTTTGTATTTTTAGGTGTTTCTTCTTAACTGAAGGCCCTGCCTGGCCTTTAACCAATAACCCCAGTGGTTAACCTGCTGTTTTGTGTCTGATCTATATCCTGAAGGTTGTTCAAAAATACTGTTTTCTATGAATATTTCATGTATCAGTGAATGGTGACATGCTGCAGGAAACTGAGGTCTGCTAATGTTTGAGCTTTAAAAAGACTCACACTTCTGAACTTCGGGGTTTTCTCTGTTTGGAACTGTATGGGATTGGATGCTCTAATGGTCTTATCACCCACCTTCTTCCTCTTGGTACCTCTCCTCCTAATGAGCCTTCTGAGGTGCTTCTTTCCTCCAGTCTGTCTCTTGCTCTTAGGTCTGAGATTGAGATCAGCATCTGATTAGTTGCTTCTGTACCTGGAACATTATTGTGGGTGTCACCAAGCTTTCTTGCTGGGCTCCACACAGATTTGAAGAGGCCATTCTCCCCACTGCTGTTTTTGCTTCTGTTCTACTTCAGCTCATGTTTGTCTCAGAAGTAAGCCCAGGACTGTAGTGTTTCCTCTGCTAGACTGCACAGATTCTGGGTGATATCTGTTGCTTTCTGACAGGTCTCCACTTTTGGATTGGCTCTGTGCAAGCCCAAAGGAAGTTCTTAATGGTTTCCTCATACCCTCCCCATCTTAAACTGTTCCTTTTTTCAGTGGTGGTTCCTATTTCCTTACAATTGCAGTGTGAGGTAATGCAATTTCTTGATAGTGTTTCTTGCTTTCAGTTGAGTGTCTTGCTAAATCTGTTTTAAAGATTCAAGAGCCTGA